ATTAATGTATTCTCACCAAAATATGTCTGTGAGATAATGTAGTTTTCAGTTAGCTAGAATCAACCACTCCACAATGTATATTGAAAACATTATGCTGTGTGCAATAAAAACATACAATATTACCTGACAATTTAAGAAATAATAATAATAAAATAAAATAAACAACAAATACATGTATGGAAAGATGCACATAAGATTTTTTGGATCTGACCTCGAGGTAGGGTGCAGTTATAGGTTTTCGGCTCCTGGAGTATTAGCTTTGCACAATTTTCAGTCACATTTTATGATTTCACTTAGTACAGGACAAATGTATTACTTCTGTAGTTCAAAAAGAAGTAAAACATCTGAACTATAGACTAAATAGTCCTACAGTTTTCTAATTACCATTGAAATAAAAAGATTTCTTAAATATGTTTGAATTAATTTTGTTTAAGTGATTTATTTTGAAACTATTAAAGCTTTTCTGAATACACCAATTCACTGACTTTATTGCAAATCCTTAATTCAGTTCTTTCCTTTATCCAGAGTGATTAAAATTATTTCAAATACAGAACTGAAATTATTGAGCAATTATTTGACTACAGCTGTCAAATCAAAATCATTGTTATATTTATTGCAATTTTTGCATCCATTTACACACTTAGATAGGAGAATATGATAGCATAAGAGTGGTATTTGCACCTTTAATATCTGCTTCAGGACAGCTATCAAAAATAGCATTTTATCAAGCTGTTACCACATGCCAGGCGTATGGTTCTTCTTTTTAACTCTAATTTACATATACAAAATTCATCATTTTGAGTGTACTGTGTTTTTACAGATCCTCCAAGAAGCAGATGTCAGTGTGAAGATAAACATGTGCAGTATTTTATTTGCAAGTACTTTACCTTCTTTCCTTTTAATTCTAGCCATTGTAATAGGAGTTTGTTTTCCACTGGTTCTCTGTTTCATAGTCAGAACTGTGTTGACAATCCCATAGGGCAGGTTTATTTTAAGTAGCCTTCCCAAGACAAATCACAACTGATCTGGATCTTTATTTAAGTGGTGCTTGGAATCACACTTGTAGTCCTGTCTCCAGAATCCCGAGTATCTTTGGTGATGATCAGCTAGCTGGGCATGTTGTTATTCAGAGGCAGTGGGGCATGGGGGATATTTCCTGGTTATTCCCTCAGTTCAAGAAGGTGATCAATATCACACCATTTTCAGAAACTTTCTGCAGTGCTTATCTTTGAGTAGTGGAACTACAGAAAGCATGAAGGAATAGAAAACAGAGATAAACAGTGATCTAAACTTTTTTAGTTTTAAAGTGTGCAAGTTTAAATTGTAGTTGATAGAGGCTGAAGAGAAAAATTATCAAAAGGTTAATCTCAACATACCTGAATGAGGCTGCTGTAAAGTGGATTAAATTTGTAACAGTCAACTTTCATTGTTGCATTTCATAGGCAGTGAAGAAAAGTAAGTCTTTTTTTTTTTTAGTACAGTATCATAAGATGCAGAGGTAAGAAAAATTCATTAAAGGTGCTGAATCTTCTATCTTTATTATTCCCAGTTTTGTCAAATGAGTAGAATTAGTCTGCAGCAAACTAGCATTACTAATCACAACCTGACTTCTAAGGAATTCATTTGATGGGAGGTAGGTTGGAGAGAAGTTAAACAAAACCTTTGTGGAGTTTTCTTTGACGTTGTTTTTTGGTTTTTAGTTTTTTGGCTGGAGTTAGAGTGCAATTAGGGAAAATACGAAGCTTCAGAGAATGAGACTGTGTGATTTAGGGATAAATAACTGAGTAATATGCCCCAGTGCGACTCCGGTGGGAGTAGGTGGGTGTGAGAGAGCATGACCTGAAAGCTAATCCATTCTTGTTTCTCATATTTTTGAGTTTTAAATCTAGTGTTCCATTTGAAGCTGTATTTTTTCCACTAGAAGATTATCAGTAGGATATATAAACAAAGAATTCAGAAACTAGTCTGCAGTTCAGACTTCTTTTGTGTATATGTGTGTGTGTAAACTGGCAAGTTACAAGCTCTAATGAGCTTAGAAAAGGCATACCAACTTCTATTTGACCATAACACTGATGTTTACCTATTTCTCCATAATTAAAATCAGATGTCTGACTGCAAGCAGTGGTGAGCCTTTGCTTATAACCTACCTTATTTGGCCTCTTAATTGCCACTGGCTCTGCAAATCAAATCATCATGAAGAAAGGAAAGAGTGTCATTGTTAAAATCCAGTTTAGGTATTTAAGATGACTTTACAAGTCCTAAAAAAAAAAAAAATTCACATAAACATATTCCAACCTCAGATATTTTTCTCTCCATTTCACCAAATTAAAAGTTTACTACTGATGCTAGTCAATTGAATAACTAGATGCATAATCATTTGCTTAAAGGAAATTCCACCTAAATGTTTTCATTCCTGGCATGGAAAAATAAGTACACTATTCAGCATGTTATCACTAGCCACTTTCTAAATACTTTGAAATGTCAAGCCAAATCTAAATACTGTAAATTTTAGGGCTGGGGATTTAGCTCAGCTGTTCAGTGGCCTGCCTTACAAGCACAAGGACCCAAGTTCAATCCCCGGTAGCAATAAATAAATAAATACTGTAAATTTTAAAGTTTAATTACACTAAGACAAGCAAGGAAGGAATTATTCAGAGCTGTCATCCTAGTTTATCTCAAGAAGAGTATAAATTCCAACATTTCTAATTGCTTTAAAAACCAAGACTATAATGAGTAACATATAGCTAGTAATATGTGTTTTGTATGTCAAATACTATATATGATATACACAATACTGCTCACTCATAAAGAGGAATAAATTTGAGTCATTTGTAGGAAAATGGGTGCATCTTCATAACATGAGTGAAATAAATCAGACATAAATGTTGCATGGTTTCTCTTATATGAGAAACTCAAAATTAAAAATATAAAAATTTAAAGACCAAAATAGAAGAAAGAGGATAAGAAACAGGGAGACTGACTGTCGAAATGGGAAAGGGATCTGGAGATGGGAAGAGATGTGAAAGAAAAAAATTAATAAGTTGTGATATGTATATGTACCAATTACTCAAGATGAATATAATTATTGTGTATCACTAATGTATACTAATAAAAAAGAAGAGTTGTGAGCAGATTTTTAATAAAAATATTTTTGTGTGTACCTATGTGTATATGTGTACATATAGGTGTATATACATATAATGTAATATCCATTTTTTTAAAAGAATGAAATCCTGGAATTTGTCACAACATAGATGATATGAAGGCATTATTCCAAGCCAAATCCTACAGAAAGATGAGTACTGCATGACACCATTCCTGTGTGAAACTTAACATAGTTGAATTTTTTTAATTTATTTTTTCTCGAGTTTATTGGTACATTTTAGTTTACAGTACAGTTACATTCATCTTTGGGATCTTGTACCTTTATATGACAGGTCTTGGTTCTCATTTTTCCCCTTGTCCCTGCCCTCCCTTCACCCCCTCCTCTCCTCCTCATTTACAAACACTTTATTTCCATTTTATCTTTTTCTCAGGTTTTTTTCTGTTCCCTTATTACCTTTCCCCTACCCTTCCCATTTCTCCTTTAGCCCTTTTCTTCCTGTTTCACATTGTCAATTATCTCATTAGGATCTTATGTACCATTATAGTTTTTCACACCAGAGAAACTATTCGATATTTATACATGTGTGACTTATTTTTTCACTTAGGAGTATATCCTCAATATGTATCCATGTTACTATGAATTTTCCTTAATTTATCATTCTTTATGGCTGAGTAATATTCCATTTTATAGAAAAACCACATCTCCTTTATTCAGTCTCCAACTGATGGGCAAATGGGCTGTTTCCAAGTTTTAGCTATTACAAACTGTGCCTCTGTAAACATAGGTGCACAGATATCACTGTGATATGATTCTTTTAATTCTTTTGGAAAGATACCTAGCAGAGGGATGGCTGGGTCAAATGGAACCTCCAGTCCAAGCTCTTTGAGGTATCTCCATATTGATTTCCATAGTGGTTGCACCAGTCTGCACTCCCACCAACAATGGAGAAGGGTTCCTTTCTCCCCACAACCCTGCCAACATTTGTTATTGGTTGATATCTCAATAGCAGTCATTCTTTATGGGGTGAGGTGGAATCTCAGTGTTGTTTTCATCTGCATCTCTCAAATGACCAGTGATGTGGAACATTTTTTTCATATATTTTAACACAGTTGAATTTAAAGAAACACTCATTACCAGAGGCTTTAGAGCAGGGGACAATGGGCAAGCTGGACCAAGGTACAAACTTTCAATTATAAGAATGAGACATGTCACATGTAACCTGGGAATGTCATAGCTGAAATTTGCTAAGAGATCTCAAGTGTTCTTACCAAACATCCATAAAGATAACTGTAAGGTCATAATATGTTAATTGGCTTGATTATGGGAATCATTACACAAGGTACTCTCATCTCAAAGCACCAAATAGTTATAAATAACTTGTGAAAAAAAACATGAATGCATTCTAAGTAAGTGAGTACATTCAATTATATGTTTAGGGAAGTATTTTGGGTACCCAAACAAAATTTATTTTTTATATTCCAAGTTTTGTCTGTGATTTAACAAGCATTGTATGCTTAGTTCCACCTCTTCGTTTTCTGGTGTAGGCAGACAGGCAGGCAGATTGACAGATTTGTAATTTTGCTATACTTCATTGTAAGTTTTTAATGTCATTTTCTGTACATTTTAATTGCCACTTATAAATCAAGGTTTAATTAATGGGTTCTTGGATCGTTCTCTTAATTAACTATCAATCCAAATTCCAGATAATGGATCTGTTACTTTATTTCAGTCTTAAGGTTATTATACCCTTGCCATATATATAGCCATATTAAAATATAGTTGGGCACACAATTGACAAGCTTTAAATATATTCATTATAAGAGCTAGATAGAAATCCAGTCTAAAGCACTTTTTATAAAATGCTCAATGTTGCAATGTCTTTTATCTTTGTCAGGCAAAGAACTATTTGCAGATTCAAATTCTTGGTCAAGTGATGGAAGCATTTCTCCAGCGGCATCTGATGCATGGTAATAAGGCTTTTACCAGCTTGATGAATGTTCACCAAAATACCACAAGACATTTACCCATGCCCAAGAAAACACAATGTGATGACAGGAGGAAAAGAAGTATGAAAAAGAAAGAAAATGAAACTAACATGTGAGAATAATAAGTGACCATACTGAAGAGGTTTGTGTTTCAACCTATTTTAAGAAGGACATTATTTAGAATGATAATCATATTATCCTCTCCAAAGTTAGCAAATCCTGTTAATGAATTGTCATAAAGTTCTTAATATTTGCAGTAAAAGAGCTTGATTTCCTTTTTTTTTTTTTTTGTATTACATGGTCTACACTTGTAAATACCATAACTTTTAGTGATTGAGGTCAGTACTGTAAATTCATTAGTTCATTTTAAATTATGCTGTGTCAAGTTATAAAGCAGTGGTGTGGTTTAGAAAGTAAGCCATTAATTTTAATACAAATAATTGAAGCTTAAAATTCAAGCCGCACATGGTGGCACATGCCTGTAATCCCAGCACTCAGGAGGCTGAGGCAGGAAGATTGCTGTGAGTTCGAGACCAGCGTGGGCTACATAGTGAGTTCCAGGTCAGTCTCAATACATAGTGAGACCCTGTCTCAAAAAAAAAAAAATCAACTAGGGCACAGCTTTTATTTTATAAATAAAATACAATAATAAAATATAATAACCATGATTTTAACATTTTTTCTGAATCACACATACCTTTTAAAAACCAGAATCTGATTAAATGTTCAGACACTCTCATAATGCATACTGAAACTAAATTTTGTACTCAACTGTTCTACATGTATTTCCTTTCCAACAAGGTTTACTTTTAAGTCATAATTGGTTAAAGAATATCTGCCTACAATAAAAATATTTGCATAATTATGTCTATTATTTTAAGACTGAGCCACAATTTGGCTCAGATTTGTAGCAGCTGGGGAGAAAATGAAAAGCCTAGCTATGATGCCACATATCAAGAAAAGAAAATGTAGCATTTGGGGAAAAACATAGCTTTGCCCAGCAATGATTTATAAATAATTTCCCTGGAAATGTTTAGTAAACTACACAGGGAAAAGTATGCATAATCTCAAATGCAATGATAAATTGTCTATAGTTTCAGATTTTTTTCACCTAGGGAAATAAGACATAAGATTATTATGAAACAGAGAGGCTGTTGGTTGAATTATAGAAAATATTGAACCCAGTCTCTTGTCAATAACGTGTATGCTTGGATTACATATTCGCTAAAATTTTACTTCTCACTCAAAGTTGGGCTTTTGATAGGTTTGCTTCATCTATCAGCCCTCTGGAAATCCCTAATTCTATACTATGGAAGATAGAGAAACAACATGTGTGTAATAAAAGTTCACAAAGAAGAAAATCAAATCAAAACAGATTAACACAATTAAAAATAAACTTTCCCCAAATTAAGAATTTGTGTGTGCACGTGTGTGTGTGTGTGTGTGTGTGTGTGTGTATACTTCTGAACATACATATGGACACTCCATGTAGCCAGGAAAAGCAACTGCAGACACAGAATAATCTGAGAAAACCATTGGTCTTTGAAGAAAGTAAATGCATTGTTTTGGCATTTAGACGAAAAGTCTGAGTCACTTGTAACTGAAAGAAAATGAGGTTGTCTAGAGCCTTCAGTAACAACATTTTACACCTTCTGGAGTGGAGCATAAAATTTAATTCAAGTATTTAATAACTGGAAAAACTGTTTTTCAAGTATAAAGCCAAGCTCTAAAACACTTAATGAATTCCTTCTGAAGTATCTCCAGGAAAACAGCATTTCAATGATTAAAAATGACTGTAAGTATATTAGCTTAAAGTCTTTGGGTATGCGCATATAACTAATTGTGCCACTATGAATAAGTGATTGGTGATCAAGGGAAAATATAATACATAATAGACATGTATAATCCCCCTGTGCTGCTGTCTCCCTGGAACTGTAAAGAGAGGTGTGAAGGCCATAGATAACAGGTAGGCTCGTTGAATATATCTTATTTCATAGGATTGATTTTGAAACATGTACACATTTTAAAGGATAAAATTTAGATTTTATAATGCTTTAAAATTTATCATTAAAATAAATGGTTCTCAAATGGGAAACTATTGGATGATGTGATCACAAAGAAAATGACTAATCCAAATAGCTAGAAACATATTTTTAAATTGTACACCTGAAGGATATATTTTCTAAAGCTAAAAAATGCTACAAAGTAATCTAATACATTTTCAGATAAAATTATAGGTGAGAGTGGGAATTTTGTTATACAAAAGATTATATATAATGAACTTCTGTGTTACAACTCTACAATCCTGTGACTTCACAAACAAGATTTTTGGCAAGTGAAAAGGAAAAATAGATGTGAAAAAGAAGAAATTAAGTAAAGACCTTTTCATACTGTGTTTCAAATATCACTGTAAGCTCATGGTGCTTTTTTTTTTTCTAATTTTTCAACTAAAAACGCTTAAAAACACTGACATTCCCAACAGCAGTAAGTATCTCAGCACTCAGAACTTAGTGTTCAAGTCCAGCTTCCCTCTGAAAGGAACCAGAACTCCCCAGGAAATGGCTGATTCCAGGTGTAGAATAGGATACAAAATCATCTTTGAAATTCTTGTCACATTGGGTCTCAAGGAAGCTTCTACATATTACTAATTCTATACACTTTATGCTAAAGACTCAACCGCCAACTTTCAGAGGCTGTCAAAGATGAGACACTGGAAGGATCAATGAGGAGAAAAAACTGCAAAAGACTGAGATATATCAAGTAAATTTACACAGATGGTTTAATAATCATACTTTTAAAAGACAGTCAAGCATTTGAAAATATTAGTGAGCTAATTATTTTGAAAACCCAGGGACAATAGAATTACAAGGTAACTAAACAGTAGATAAGAGTAAGATTTCCCTTTTTACAGCATTTCAGAAAATTAATGGAAAAAATGATAGAATTGGGATGTCACCATTTTTGTAGCCCAAATGAAGTATGGAGAAAGGTACTGAGCATCTTTTGCTGCTAATATCAAAAATGAGGAAGATAATCAGACAATCTATCCCTCCTGAGGGAGGAAAAAAAATGCTTCTATGAAAGGAACTTTTCAAACACCTGAACATGACTAATCTTCTACAGCCAATTATTCTATTAACTTATAGACTGTTCCCAAAATAGAGAAACATGTTAAGCTATGCCATAGGCAGGCAACAGCAAAATACTGTGAGGTAAGCAGTTTAGTTTCTGCGGTGAGGAAATGATAGCTGGAAAGGGGAAACCAACAAATGAAAAAAGACATAAAAGATGTGTAATAAGGGTTACAAGCACATCTTACTTGGATACCAGGGTTTTAAAATTCTGACATTAAAAAAATAGGAAACAAATGCCAGCTAAATATTTGAAAATATCTAGGAATCACTCATTTTTAAAGATACAATCATAATATTATGGCCTTATGAAAACAAAAGACTTTTCTTTATAGAGTTATACATTGATTATATTATATATTATATATTGATTATACATTGATTCACAAAATATTGAACCTCTGTATGAGAAATTTCTGTATCCATGGATTCATTCAAATGCAAAATACTTGGAAAAAACTTCATCTGTATTGTACATGTATAGAGCTTTTTCTTGGCATTACTCCCTATTAACAACTATTCACATAGCATTTACATTGTATTAGATAGTCTAAGTAATCCAGAGATGAGTAAAGTATATGGGAAGAATTATATAGATTATATGCAAATACTGTTCCATTTTATATCAGGCACTTGGGCATCTGTAGATATTTTTATCTGCAGGGCTCCCTGAAGGCTACCCAAGGACAACTGTATAATGTTTGGAATTTGGAAAGAGGAATGTGGGTAAGGGTATACATGAAATAAATTTATTAAAGCTAGATAGTGGCATATGTGAGGTTTATTAAACCATTATTTCTTTTTCACATATTTTTTAAAATTTCAGGAATAAAGTATTTAAAATAACAACATCCATTTTTTTAGCATGACCATGCCATACCCTGAGAGTGCCTGAAAAGTTTGCTTTTCTCTCCAGTAAGAGGCACCTCTTTTCCACCTTGTGTCTGTGAGAAGCACCAGTGCTATGTGGGAGACCAGCAGGGGTTAAAGAAGCCAGGGACTCCTACATCTGGGGAGCATTAGCTATATTAAGGACAGCCAGCTTGAAAAGGTAACCGAAAGAAGCAGCTGAGGACTCTCTGGTTAGGGCTTGAGGTCATCCGAAAAGAAAGACTGCGGTTTACAGTCTAGCAAGTGACATATATCATTTCAGGACTTTGTTTCAAACCCGAGTACAAGAATTCCTCTGGTTTGGAATTGGATCAAAACCAAGCAGCAGATTTCTTTATATTCCATAAGCAATTTAAAATGTTTTCATCACATCACCTTTCAGGAAAGAAAGACAGGGTTTATATTTATAGCAACAAAAATGTAATGCTTTTTGGATTTTTCTGTATTGCAAAAATTAGCACCGGCCCATTTATGCAAATATAATGATAAATATTTAGGTGGCACATTATGCAAAAAATTCCTCAGTTGTTTACTATATGGAGACACTGTGAAAAAAATATAAGAATTGATGTCGAGGCTGGTAGACGTATAGGGCTATGGTGAGTTTTCCCACTATGTGGAACTTTGAAATAAAAAAATTTTTTAAAATCTTGACTTGCCATTTCCCAACAGGTTAGCATGAGTAGCTTCTCTATGTTGGTTTCCTAGCCCTCAAGATCTTGCCTAAAGCACCTAACTCATAGCGTTACATTCAATATGCAGAGTAATTGCTATTTTCACAATGGACTCCTTATGGTCAGCAGTTTTGGCCACTTACCTTTAAGAAAAGATATCTTTGACTATTAAAGTTCCTCCTCTGCTTGCACAACATCATAACCAGTTCCCTTTCTAGAATACCAACTTAATCTTTTGAGAAGAGGAAAAGGAAGGAAAGAGAGAGGAGCGGAGGAGTGGGAGGGAGAACCTGAAATAAGGCAACATTTACAGATTATTGCTTTTTATTTTATGGTAAAACAATTTTACTAATTGTTAAGGGCTGTTTGAATCAGAGTATATTACAAAGATCCAAGTATTTATTAGTTTTAATCTTATAATATTCTGATTACTAATCCTAATAATGTGGCAAAAAAAAAAAAAGTGCCAT